GTTGGACTGAATATAAGTTTTCCCTTTTGGGCCCAAGGCTCACTTGGGATTTGTGGTGATAATCTGTATATTTCATTGCAAAGTATCAGAAGAAAGATAGTAATATTTGTTCCACTGTAATTGAGATAGTCATTATAAGTTAATAAACCCTTTTGGCTTTTTTTTATATATCACATTAAATTTGCCAAAACATGGTTTGTTAAGCAAGTTTTATCTTTTCCCACTAGGCATACCGTGTCAGGGTTTGCACTGCCCTTTATAAATATCATGGCACACCAGTTGGAGCAGAAAGGAAGCGAAAGAGAAGGCCAAGTAGTGAGAGACAACCCAGAACACAGAATCCCACAAAGAAGAAAGCTAATGACACTGATAATTCCACAGGGAATGTGACTGAAAGCCAAAAGCGTCGTACTAGGTTAAGAAGTAATATGCCCTTATTTAAGGATCCTTTGGCAAGCTCCAAACTAGAGATGATAAAGAACATTAGAGCAGAGAGAGCAGCTGCTGAAAATAAGAAGACTGAAGCCATTCAACGAGCAAAGTAAGTGCCAATTCTTGTTCAATTATATTGTATTATATATTTAACAAGGAATTATGAGAATATGGAAGCAATCCACTGCTTGTTTGGTGCAGCTTATGGGGACTACTTATCAATTATTTTATTTTATTTTGGGCATCTATGTCAGAGTTTGGTATAGCTTCTACTTACAACTAAGAGGACCTCCAGTCTTTGATCTTTTTTTTCATCGAATTTGAATGAAAATTTGATTAAAAGCTTAGTGGTTGTTTGGCATGTGCTAAAATAGCACATGCTATTTTAGCACATTATCCTATTTAGGTCATAATTATCATATTGAAGTCACATCATCTCTCATGTTGTTATTTTGAGGGTGTTACAATATTTCACGTTTGTACGTAAAAGGTCAAAAAATATACTAATCTAGCACTTCCCAAACAACCGCTAATCTGACACAGAACACTATCATCCTTTCTCTTTTTTCATTTTTCATTTTTCATTTTTAGGTAAAGGTATGTATATCTCCAATTATTGTTTTTTTGGTTTAATTTACAATTTTCAATTAAAGTATAATATTTTTTTTTGGAGATTTTTTTTATTTAATTAATTATCTCCAATCTTGTCGCTTTTTTTTCTTTTCTTTTTCTGTTTTTTCATTTTTCATTTTTCATTTTAAGGTAAAGGTATATCTCCATTGTTTTTTTGGTTTAATTTCCAATTTTCAATTAAAGTATATATCTCCAATCATTTTTTTCTTTTCTTTTCTTTTTTTTTGTTTTTCAATTCAATGGCTTGGAGAGAAGTATAATTGTTTTATGCGTGGATTTCAACATTGAGTCCATTATAGGACATTTCCACATCAAAACAGGTATACTTCAAAAGATAGCAACCTTTCTTTTTTGTGGGGGAGGAAAAAAAAAAAAAGGACCTAAAATTAATTATTAATACTCTCTCCGTTTCAAAATATTGTTCTTTTTGAAAAATTTAACTTTTTTTATTGATAATACAATTATTACACTTCAAAAATATTAAATTTTCAAAATTATCCTTTGACTTTTTCTTGACAACATTAATTATCATAATTAATGAATTTAAAATAAGGATAGAATAAGAAATTTATATTATTTTAGTTCTTGATTTTTTTAAGAAGACTAATATTTAAGGACTATAAAAAATAGAATAAGAAATTAATATTTTAAAACGAAAAAAGTACGTAAAGAACCTATGCATTGTTGACGCTCTATTGGTGTTGTTACCTTTCCTTCAAGTTTAATTATTTTCTACTTTTTTTTTTTTTTCCGTGCCTTTTCAATCGCCTTAGCAGAACTGGTCAACCAGGCTGAGAGAAAATAATCCAGGTATTCAAGGTCTGAGCCAAACAGATCACGGAGAAATCAATCATTGTGTTTGGTTCCTATTTTCTAATTCATTTTTTTGAAAATTTTGGAGTTTTTGTTTGGTTATTTTGAAAACCAGACAAAGTTTTTTGAAAACTAACATGGGAGTATTTTTTGATGTGACAATTTTTTTTTAAAAAAAAAATTATTTCTCTCCTTAAATTGGAGGGAAACTTGAATATGCAATAATGCATTTTTTTTAAAACCAAGCAAAGATTCTTTTTCAAAATAGAGTTTTCAACTCACTTTTTGGAAAAATAATTCAAAAAAATGGAACCAAACATGATGAGCCCAAACAGTAGAATCAAGTAAGAGCGATTATAACGACTTTGGTTGTGGTAAATTCAACTTCCACGATTTGCTTAATGGTAAGGAGGAACTTATCAAACAAGCATGAGTGATTATGGTTTGCCTCCATCAGAACTGGATGGTATAATAAAACAATGCAGCTTCACTGAGCAACTGAGTCAGCTTGAACTGAATGGGAATGGAGCAAAATTTCAGTCCAGGAAAGAGGAAACACCACCCAATTTCGTTGCAGGCTGGTTGAAGTGGTGGATGGAGATTAGGCTAGTGTACAAAAATGTTGTGAAGTTGGCCGAGTTTTCATTTGTTAGAAGGTAAATTGACTTACAGTTCAGATCTTGATTGTTGCGGCCATTTTGGCATGAGAATGTTGCAGTTTAACCTTGTACATTGAGGTGCTACTGCAGTTGTCATGTGAGTTTCTTCATATTTATGGCCAACAACTATATGTATCATAATCACAGTTTCCTGGGTTACTAAAATTCTGGTTGGAAGGATGATATATTAGTGTAGTTATTGCTGTAATGCATCTTTGCAGTTACAATTGAATTAGGCACATCCATGCCATTGTAGACCTATATAATTTTATTTTATTTATTCTGGTTTTGTATACAATTTTATTGTATCCATGTTTGAGTTACAGAAATAATGGCCTTGCAAAAAAGCTCATTTTAGATTATATAATTTTATTCAAAATCTGACACAATTCTCTCTAATGACGTTTTGATACATTTGGTGGGTAAGTCTGGATTTGTTAAAGTTGAAAATCTTAATAATACATTGTCAATTTGAACGGTTTAGACGTTATTTGATCATATGATTACTTGTATATGATTAACTTAATTTTTTGCATTAGCTTGTCACATGAGATAAACGGTTTAAATCACTAATATAGACATCCCGATTGGTCTTACAATGCACCAATCTCACAGGATCATCAATTTTAGCAAATCTAAATTCTTGGTTGATTTACTTCATATGACAGAGTTGTGTATAATTTTGTGACCAAATTACGTGAACTTAAATTTTTTTCTAATTAAGTTTTTTTCTAATGTAATATTTGATTTATTTGAATGAATGTGGAATCGAATGATAATTCTATTAGATTGTTTATTTTCACGTTTGAATCACTAACTTTTATTTTTTACTTTTTAAAGGCATTCATCCAATAGCAAATGAAAAGTTATTATTTCATAAGGTAACAAGGAATAAGCATTTTTTTTATTACACTTTCATTTTAAGAAACCAAAAAAAAAAAGCATTTTTTTTATATATAAAACCCACAAATATCACAGAAAATGCTTAATTTTTAAGAAAATATTAGTCTTAAATGTGTGTCTGGTTAGGCTTGGCCGAACAAAATTTCCACCATTGTTAAGGCACGAGAGCCATTGTTATTAAAGTTGATTGGGCAATATTTTCTTCCACCACTTGTGTTATTCTCTCAAATCGCGCCAAATTTATGCATGTTTATGTGAGTCTTACTAGAATCTATAACTTGTTTGCTTAGAAATATAAGTGTCTATATTTTTTCACCACAACGTACATTTTATATCATTAATTTTATAATAATGTGAGTTATTACATATCAATTATTAATTTATTTAAAAATTAATATATGAGACTCAATTCCTGTCCCTATATGAGTATAATTAATTTCTTTTTGTGTGTATATTAACTTACATATCTTATTATATATGTACATGTGTGCTTATATATATATATATATATATGATAAAAAAATTTATTCAAATTTTGACTTTTCTAATGATAAAATTTTGATTTCGTCCATACTACGTAAGAAGGATTATTTGAAATGTAAGAAACACTTATCAATGTTTTAATGGATTAAGGATTAAAGCTACCTACATATTGTTTTGGAAAATATATTTTGGCCTACTACTCATTTATTTGTATTAAAAAATAATTTCAAGTAAGAATATCGAATTTTGTTATAGCTACAATTGGGAGGAGGAAACTCGAATCTCCACATTATCAGTGGGCATCTTCAACTAATTGATGTGTCATCAATGTACTGATTTAATAAATCTCACCTTTGATGTCTTATAACAAATACATTAGTAACACAAATAATCTAAAATTTAGTCACCGCAACATAACTAAAATTGAAATTATCCAAACAAGCAATTATTAATACAATAGACAAACAAAAAGGAATCCAAACATGCAATAAGTTCTTGCTGATGAACATCCAATGCAATCAACCAATCCATAAATCTACACATTCTCACAAAAACAGTTTCTCTATATGTAGCATCATATCATTTTGACCATTTGCATTATACAACATGATCAAAACTAACTGCTAAGAAAGTACTGTAAGATTATGGAATGCAATGTGATTAGTGAGATAAGAAGTCCTTTTAGACAGTTTTACGAGGGCCTACCAAAATTTATCAGATCAAAATACAATTGAAGAAAGAAAAAGAACAGTCGCCCCTTTCACGCAGGGGGCATTATTAGAACAAAAATGTCCATGTGACTAATCAACAAATGCGTTTGCTACTGCCACTAATTCAACTATATTTCTATACAATTTATACCAAAGGGTTCAAGTAAACCGCTGTACAGTTCTTTGTGATCTGTTTTTTAATATTATTATGTCAGTTCTTATCTTCGGGTGATGGGTTATATTACCAGTGTTCCTTCAGTGATTTGATTATCATCTGAAGAATCAAAGGGTTGAGATTTGGTTTTACTCATGATCCGAGAGTATCCATAACCGAGAGAGCCTCCACTTGCTTCAGAGAGCTACATGCAATATTTGATTGTGGTACCTCAGTCAAAATCCAGCATGATCAAAACTAACAAGACTAAGCGAATTACGAAAACCAAACATTAATAAGTACCTCGGTAAGCTCAGAAAGATGGTGGGACCTAAACTTGTTGATAATAGCTTTTATTTCTGACATGGGCAGTTTAGCCTAACAAGGAAAAACAAGATAAAGTAAGAACATTCGAAAGATGCCAAACCAAAATAACCAAACTTCTGTAATGTTTTTGACTTTCCATAGCACATGCTAACAATTTCACAAGCAAGCATCAACCAATAGTAGTAACTAGGGCTGCAATCGAGCCGAGCCAAGCTGAGCTTTAGTATGTTTAGCCTTGTTTATTAAGATTTTAACGAACTCGAACTCGAACTCGAGCTCAGGAATAATAACTGCATCTTTCATTCAGTGAGCTGATAGAGAAGAGATAGGAAGTGCAGGACTCTGCTATGATGGTCCCTATTTGGCTCTGTGAACACTCTATTCTGTCGATCTTTTGCTTTTGAGGGTGTTCAAACTTGGGATATCCTAATTCAAGCTTATAGATTGTCATTTAAGGTCTGACTTATAGAGTTGTGGTTTAATAAAGTGGCTGTATCGCTTTTTGAGAGTGGTTACGTTATTCCTTTTGTGGACTCAATCTATGCAGACATGATTTCGTATCGTACTTTGACTTTTCATGTTATGACTCTGTTACTTGGCGGGCTAGGTGGTGACAATTTCTTTCATTGCTTTTAGGTAGCGTAATTCAACCTATATGAACGTCAATGCGCACATAATTGATTTATAATAGATAATGATTGATTGGTAAAGATATAAAAATTGTAAACAAAAATGCACATTGCATGGACAATAAAACATGTTACAAGATGGAGAATGCTCAAGTTCTATCGAAGCGGTAGTAGTTATCACAGGATTTACCCCAGCCTTGTATGGGGTTCCATAGTTTTTCCCATATAATTTCATTAATAACCGCTGAATTATCTCATGTGACATTACATGTAACACTAAAGGCAATAGAATGATGGCAATTGGCAAAAAGAAAAAAGGTACCCGTGTCCATGAAACTTACTGAGAAGTGTGTAAATGGTTATTTGGAGAAAAAATATTTTAAGCATCATACAGTCATATACTCTACAAAGCGAATCGGAAAACCAAGAGTCATCTAAGGATCTACCTTCAGCAGGTCATTGCTCGTTTCAGCTAGAACTGAGTAGTAGTTGGTCTGTGCACTTGATCTTCCTGTGTTATCTTTGGTGATGTTGTGATAGTCGAGATGCGATACGATGACCTACTCAAGCGACTTAAAAGTATGGGTTTTGAAGGTGGGCTGAAAGTCAGTCATGGTGAGTCACTAGGGTTTCTTGCCTGTATTCCCATGGCACTATGAGGTTTCCATGTAACTAAGGTTGGTACGAGCTGAAAGAAGCATTGTGCATGCCAGCAACTATACGTAGCTCTAGTACATATCCCTCGCGAGTGGCACAAACTTATATGAAACGATGGGGTGGGTTGAGAGCAGTCAATTTCCCAAAGATGATCAAGACACATTGTCTGTAGCTTGATGAGTGATGTTGATGCATGGGCCGGTGATGTATATCGGAAAAGGCTGGGATAGTCAAACGCAGAGCTACACAGACTGTGAGACTTTCTTTGCTATTACCTCATTAGTTATTTCACTCATCCTAATTGCCTTATTATACTTGCGGTTACTTAATCTTAAATTCTTTATTAATAGGTTAGTCATGTTTTGATGCGAATGCTCAACATTAAGGCTGAATAGTTTGAACTTGTCGTTCAATGGTTGGCAAACATCCTTATTACTGCTATGGGCTATACTAATATATCTTGCATTATCTATATAAAGGATCAATTTTGTTCAAATTACATCATATCTTGTAGTTTTAGTTTGAAACTCTTCCGGTTGTCCCCGACGACCTTGTGGGAACCTATGTCTCCACACGAACCTAGCCGCTACGGCTCCAATGGCTTCCATCAACCCTCAATGTTGGCGGCAGGCAGGTAAAAAACAAGTGCATCTAATTGGCAGTAATATTTATTTTACATTTTGATACTCAAGTGATTGTTGCTGAGCAAGCTAGCTGCTCTACTGTGATAATAATGTCATCGTACTCTAAAAAGAGATGCCTAGGTTGACATCGAGTCTTCCTGTTTGAGAGGACACGACACTGTAATCTTTAGTGTTAATGGTTCGCATTGTCAGGTCTACATATGAACTTCGAGGTGGAAGAAGTAGAGAAGCGGCTGTTGCTTCTCCAAGTGTCTAGAGTGATTGGGTATATGATAATATTCTTTCTATCTTCACTTTTCAAGAGACACGAGTAAAAAAAATCGGAGCAATAGCAGCACACACCAACGCATTTGACTCAGTTAACCGCATTGAATAACTGCAAGGCATTTGGATCTGCACTATTGTGCAATTCCCCGCATCGCGTGTCACACTGAGGCCAATGCAACTCAATACTGGCTTGTTATTTAATCTAGGGCTGCAATATGAATGCTTCAGGTTAGAGACTGTTCGAGGTTGTAGCTAGAAACTAAGCTCGCTCGAGTTAGCAAGCTCGTTCGACTTGGTTCGTTAATATTTTTGCGTTTGAGCATCGTATAAAATTGTTTAATTGTAAACAAGAGACTATTCCCTAAACACAGATATACTAAATAGTGGTAACTGAGACTCGTATGATTTCGTGAGTTCAGTATAATATAATTAGTTAGTTATTTTAGATACTGAAATAATAGATATTACGACTTGTATATATTATTAACTAGAATAAAAGTATAAGATATGATAAATTAATTGTAATAATATATATATAAATATGAGATACAACTATATATATTATATACATGATATTGTAAAATATAAATTTAAGATTAGATTAACTTATATATTTAAATTATAGTATTGCGTGTACACATTATTATTAATAGTAGGTGAGTTAAGATATTATTTATATATTTGGTAAATAATATTTATGACGTTTCTTTATATAGAAGTTTATATATCATTGTAACGTATATAATATTCGTATAATCAGAGCTGTAGTCTTTATAGTTTGTAATTCACGATGCCTATAACTACGCAAGTAACTGAATTTTATTAAATTTTTTTGAGCCTCGTAAGGGCTCATGATCAGGCTTCCAGCTCGAGTAAGCCTAACCAACTTAGCTCGAGCTCTGTTCGTCTCAAATTTTTATTTGAAGCTGC